GTGGGTGAAACCAAAACATGAAAGAGATGGGATGGGTTGAATGGAGCTGAAGGTTGGGACTAATAACAACTAATAACAACAAAATAACTAATGTAAAATATACTGTGTACATAATAAGTATAAAGGTTATAGGTTGAGAACTTTTGTGAAAGAGCACAGTTATGGCATATAGAAGCAGACCTGATGGACATAGGAGAGGTTGAGGGTAGAGGAAGTTCAGGAGTAAAAACAAACAAAATAGAATTATTGTAAAATTGACTGTCTCCATAAAATGTATATAGTATGTATAAGCTGGAAGTAGAGGCCTAAGCATTGTTGTTCACTAGTTTACTCAAATTAGGGAAGGGGTGGTAGGGTTGGAAAGTAATAAAGGAAAATATATATTTAAAAAGGATATGTACAGTGGGGAGAACAAGTATTTGATACACTGCCGATTTTGCAGGTTTTCCTACTTAAAAAGCATGTAGAGGTCTGTAATTTTTACCATAGGTACACTTTAACTGTGAGAGACAGAATCTAAAACAAAAATCCAGAAAATCACATTGTATGATTTTTAAGTAATTAATTTGCATTTTATTGCATGACATAAGTATTTGATCACCTACCAACCAGTAAGAATTCCGGCTCTCACAGACCTGTTAGTTTTTCTTTAAGAAGCCCTCCTGTTCTCCACTCATTACCTGTATTAACTGCACCTGTTTGAACTCGTTACCTGTATAAAAGACACCTGTCCACACACTCAATCAAACAGACTCCAACCTCTCCACAATGGCCAAGACCAGAAAGCTGTGTAAGGACATCAGGGATAAAATTGTAGACCCGCACAAGGCTGGGATGGGCTACAGGACAATAGGCAAGCAGCTTGGTGAGAAGGCAACAACTGTTGACGCAATTATTAGAAAATGGAAGAAGTTCAAGATGACGGTAAATCACCCTCGGTCTGGGGCTCCATGCAAGATCTCACCTCGTGGGGCATCAATGATCATGAGGAAGGTGAGGGATCAGCCCAGAACTACACAGCAGGACCTGGTCAATGACCTGAAGAGAGCTGGGACCACAGTCTCAAAGAAAAACATTAGTAACACACTACGCCATCATGGATTAAAATCCTGCAGCGCACGCAAGGTCCCCCTGCTCAAGCCAGTGCATGTCCAGGCCAGTCTGAAGTTTGCCAATGACCATCTGGATGATCCAGAGGAGGAATGGGAGAAGGTCATGTGGTCTGATGAGACAAAAATAGAGCTTTTTGGTCTAAACTCCACTCGCCGTGTTTGGAGGAAGAATAAGGATGAGTACAACCCCAAGAAAACCATCCCAACCGTGAAGCATGGAGGTGGAAACATCATTCTTTGGGGATGCTTTTCTGCTAAGGGGACAGGACAACTGCACCGTATTGAGGGGAGGATGGATGGGGCCATGTATCGCGAGATCTTGGCCAACAACCCCCTTCCCTCAGTAAGAGCATTGAAGATGGGTCGTGGCTGGGTCTTCCAGCATGACAACGACCCAAAACACACAGCCAGGGCACCTAAGGAGTGGCTCCGTAAGAATCATCTCAAGGTCCTGGAGTGGCCTAGCCAGTCTCCAGACCTGAACCCAATAGAAAATCTTTGGAGGGAGCTGAAAGTCTGTATTGCCCAGCGACAGCTCCGAAACCTGAAAGATCTGGAGAAGGTATGGAGGAGTGGGCCAAAATCCCTGCTGCAGTGTGTGTAAACCTGGTCAAGACCTACAGGAAACGTATGATCTCTGTAATTGCAAACAAAGGTTTCTGTACCAAATATTAAGTTCTGCTTTTCTGATGTATCAAATACTTATGTCATGCAATAAAATGCAAATTAATTAAATAAAAAAAATAAAAGTATTTGGTCACCTACAAACAAGCAAGATTTCTGGCTCTCACAGACCTGTAACTTATTCTTTAAGAGGCTCCTCTGTCCTCCACCCGTTACCTGTATTAATGGCACCTGTTTGAACTTGTTATCAGTATAAAAGACACCTGTCCACAACCTCAAACAGTCACACTCCAAACTCCACTATGGCCAAGAACAAAGAGCTGTCAAAGGACACCAGAAACAAAATTGTAGACCTGCACCAGGCTGGGAAGACTGAATCTGCAATAGGTAAGCAGCTTGGTTTGAAGAAATCAACTGTGGGAGCAATTATTAGGAAATGGAAGACATACAAGACCACTGATAATCTCCCTCGATCTGGGGCTCCACGCAAGAGCTCACCCCGTGGGGTCAAAATGATCACAAGAACGGTGAGCAAAAATCCCAGAACCACACGGGGGGACCTAGTGAATGACCTGCAGAGAGCTGGGACCAAAGTAACAAAGCCTACCATCAGTAACACACTACGCCGCCAGGGACTCAAATCCTGCAGTGCCAGACATGTCCCCCTGCTTAAGCCAGTACATGTCCAGGCCCGTCTGAAGTTTGCTAGAGTGCATTTGAATGATCCAGAAGAGGATTGGGAGAATGTCATATGGTCAGATGAAACCAAAATATAACTTTTTGGTAAAAACTCAACTCGTCGTGTTTGGAGGACAAAGAATGCTGAGTTGCATCCAAAGAACACCATACCTACTGTGAAGCATGGGGGTGGAAACATCATGCTTTGGGGCTATTTTTCTGCAAAGGGACAAGGACGACTGATCCGTGGAAAGGAAAGAATGACTGGGGCCATGTATCGTGAGATTTTGAGTGAAAACCTCCTTCCATCAGCAAGGGCATTGAAGATGAAACGTGGCTGGGTCTTTCAGCATGACAATGATCCCAAACAAACCGCCCGGGCAACGAAGGAGTGGCTTCGTAAGAAGCATTTCAAGGTCCTGGAGTGGCCTAGCCAGTCTCCAGATCTCAACCCCATAGAAAATCTTTGGAGGGAGTTGAAAGTCTGTGTTGCCCAGCGACAGCCCCAAAACATTATTGCTCTAGAGGAGATCTGCATGGAGGAATGGGCCAAAATACCAGCAACAGTGTGTGAAAACCTTGTGAAGACTTACAGAAAATGTTTGACCTGTGTCATTGCCAACAAAGGGTATATAACAAAGTATTGAGAAACTTTTGTTATTGACCAAATACTTATTTTCCACCATAATTTGCAAATAAATTCATTAAAAATCCTACAATGTGATTTTCTGGATTTTTTTTCTTCTAATTTTGTCTGTCATAGTTGACGTGTACCTATGATGAAAATTACAGGCCTCTCATCTTTTTAAGTGGGAGAACTTGCACAATTGGTGGCTGACTAAATACTTTTTTCCCCCACTGTATATATCCTTGTATATGTATGTATATGTATGTGTATATGTATGTCATTTATGTGTATGCATGTATGTATATGTATGTATACATATATACATACATATACATACATATATATATATATTATTATTTTTTTCCTTTATTACTTTCCAACCCCACCACCCCTCCCCTAATTGGTGTAAACTAGTGAACAACAACGCTATGGGGGATTGGAAGTGATGCAGACAATTACATTGATGGAAGTTACAATTTATCTGCAATATTTAAAGCTGATCTACCCCATAAAAAAAAGAACAAACATGAAAGAGAAAGTACCAAATTATAATACTCTGCTTTTGTAAAAGTAATTGGTCACAAGCCCTTTTCCACTCAATATGTCCTGATGATTGCAACAAGATAGTAAGGCTATAAAGGCTGGCTGAATTGTGTTGGGAACCTATTGCTCTCCATTCTCTCTCTCTTCTCTCTTCTCTCTCTCTCTCTCTCTCTCTCTCTCTCTCTCTCTCTCTCTCTCTCTCTCTCTCTCTCTCTCTCTCTCTCTCTCTCTCTCTCTCTCTCTCTCTCTCTCTCTCTCTCTCTCTCTCTCTCTCTCTCTCATTCTGTCACATCTGAGAGGGAATGAGTTACCTTTTTTATTTTCCATTAAGGACTAGGACCAGTGATTCATGTGTTTTTAGTATTTCTCTCCATTTACTCTCCTTGATCTTTTCTCTCACTTTTTCTCTTCTTTCCTCTCTCTTTCTATCTCTCACCCACTCCCGCTCTCTTTCACATTTCTCCATCCCTTTCTATCTTTCTCTCTCCTTCCTACCCCCCTCTCTCTCCCATGTCTCTCTGCCCCCTCTCTCTAATCTCTTTCTTTCTCTCCCTCCCTCCCTCTCTCTTCTTCAGTCACGTACAGCTGTGCCCTGCACTTGCGTCATTCTAACCGCCCTGGGACCTTCGCGACCCCTTAGTACCAAAACACACTGTCTTACCCTTCGGCATAACCTATTCCGTATGATCCATCCATGATTTGTCTATCTCTTTAATCTAGTTAAGTATGACAACGCATTTTGCCAACCCTCATTAACTGGAAAACGGAGAAGAAAAGTAGATTCTAGCTCAGCTCATGTCAATCAAGAGGAATTTCTGACATTGACATTGAGGATTGAAGATGGTCGGGTAGGGGCGGTTGGTGGATGTCCCCCCGGATTTGCTTTTACACATCCGCCCCTGTTAGAGGATCAAAGTCTATGCAGGTCGATGTGTTTACAGTAGTAGGCTTATTGGTCGTAAATTCTTCTACCAATCCTCCCTTTCTCGCTCTGCCTCGCCTCTGCGGATGAGTCGCCACAGTTGAGCAGAGGCTTCACGGATCAACGATTGGTGGAAGGCAGAAATCCAATTGAATGTGTGGCCACTGATGCTGATTTAAGAGTGTGTGTGTGTGTGGATGTGGACTATATGAAAATATGCAACATTCTTCAACATTCTCCAAATGAGAGGTCAACATCCTTAAAACGTGAGTGCATGCAGCATCCAAGTAGTGCATAGACAGAATGTTCCTTTCCCTGTGAGTTTCTTTGAGTCACCTTAATAGTGTCATCCGGTGCCAATTAGTGTAGAGAGACCGTGAGACCGAGTCACAGAAATAACCGTTTCAGCATGGGAACGAACTGCAGGGGTGCTACAGGCCCTTATAGTAGGTAACTTGAGATAACTTGGTAAATTCTATGTGAAACAGGTCTAATGGTCCTACTTGAAGCCTTGGACAACTACATGCCCCCTATGAAGTGGCTTTTAGGTAGCAGGTATACAGTGCAGTCCCCCATTCGCAGCAGGCTTGCATCACCTCCCCTTTTTTCACTCATTTCTTTTTATTCATCCCCTTTTCTTTCTCCTCCCTCTTTCCGACACCCCAGCCCAGAGGTCTAACTCAGAGGTCTAGCTCTCTTCATGTCTTTCAGATGTGTAAAAGCTGGTTGCTTCGATGTCTCTCTCTCTCTCTCTCTCTTCTCTCTCTCTCTCTCTCTCTCTCTGGTCAATTTAACTGCAGCTACAGCTCGTTTGAGGCTACTCACTCTCTTCTCCTCTCTCTACTGTTCTCTCTCCGTTTCAGGTCAGTTTCTCAATGGCAGCTATTGCTCCTTCGAGGACGGTGAGTGCGGATGGCAGCCAATTGCAGCCAAGGGAACCTCTTGGAGGCGTGTTCGCACCCTGCCAAAGAGGGTGCGGCCTAGCTGTCCATCATCCTCAGGTGAATCATCAGTGCTTTTTAAAGACGTCATCGCTTAAATCGATATATATACACTGACTGTACAAAACATTAAGAACACCTGCTCTTTCCATGACCAGGTGAATCCAGGTGAAAGCTATGATCCCTTATTGATGTCACTCATTAAATCCACTTTAATCAGTGTAGATGAAGGGGAAGGAGACAGGTTAAAGAAGGATTTTAAAGTCTTGAGACAATTGACACATGGATTGTGTACGTGTGCCATTCAGAGGGTGAATGGGCAAGACAAAATATTTAAGTGTCTTTGAACGGGGTATGGTAGTAGGTGCCAAGCGCAATGGTTTGTGTCAAGGACTGCAACTGTTGCTGGGTTTTCCCCGCTCAACAGTTTCCTGTGTCTATCAAGAATAGTCCACCGCCCAAAGGACTTCCAGCCAACTTAACACAACTGTGGGAAGCTTTGGAGTCAACATGGCCCATTGAAGTCAACATTGGAGTCCATGCCCCGATGAATTGAGGCTGTTCTGAGGGCAAAATGGGGTAGTGCAACTCAATAATAGGAAGGTGTTCCTAATGTTTGGTATACTCAGTGTTTTGTCACTGATATCAATCATATAGGCCCTGTCCACAACCCATAGCTACCCCAACGCACTCTGTTACCCCTTAAGACGTCCGCATGCTTCCCAGCCGAAACAGTTTGATAGAGTTTGTGCATATATTATGACGGCATTTTGTGATGTTTTTGTTCGTTTTGGACTTTGGTGAGGGTTTTTCGGCTGTTCGGGTACACAGCATTTTTTCTTGAGGCAACCCGAAGTTTGGAGCCTAAGTCTACGCCCCTTCGTCGGTGATTTGTCAACAGTATTGATTCTTCAATAAAGTCTTAGTTTTCATTCAATGAGAGACGACTTGTTTTCATGCAAAAATCCTGCACCAAATGTCTTAGATGTAAAATTGCTTATACTAAGATCTCTTCGGCAAAAATGTCAAAATTAATGACCAATTTCTTGAGTTATCTTAGATTAATTCTTACAATTTTGAGGAAGTGTATACTGGCTACAGTGTCTCAAAATGGACAAACTACCATTGTCGCTTCTTTGTCATTTTCCAAGCGAAGTTCTTTTAAGGGAGTATGCGAGCACACTCGTTCGTTTCGGCTAGCCGAGTTCGGCTAGGCGCCAACCAAAATGAAAGCATGCTGAAGCCTTTAGGCACTTGTGTACAGACGCTGTATCTTAATTTGACACAGTTTCTCACAGCAGGAAAATAATCCTGCAGCAACAGTCCATTTTCATTATTATGTGGATTTTAATTAAAGGACATTTTTTGTAGGGGTTGATACATATTTTGTTATGGCAAATCAAGTCTGTAAAGAGGAAATTACAAACTCTAGAAACCTTTTTAAACCTTGAATACACTACAAGTTTGAAACAGTATGATCAAATTAAGATACAGCATCTGTAGATCTGAAAGGACTGGATAGATCTAGGTATTATGTGGAAATATTATTCAAAAAGGATAAAGCTAAACCATATTGCTTCTACCGATCCAGTTCTTTCAATTCTGTCAATGGAATATGGACAATGGGTTGTTTCTGGATGTAGTAGTCTTCTTACTGTATGCTTTCAGTGGCTGTAATGCAATGTAAGGCTTATGGGTCATTCCACCAATTCAGTGCCTTTTCAGAAGTGTAACTTTACATTCTGTCATAAAGAGCACATGTTCCAATTCATAAAAAACACATTTTCCCATCTCAAGATAATAAACATTACTATATTAAGTGCTAAATAATGTAACAGGGTTGACCGTAAAAGGGTTGTAGATTTAATCTTAAATCAGCCATAAATCCCCTCGTGACGGGGAATAGACAACTGGGAGTGGCAATCGAATGCAATTTTTGCTTCACAAAAAAATATAAAATTGCCTAGATATTTATAGCCTGTCTATCTATGGATAACAGGGTTGACTTGTTATACTCAACCCATTTTCCACCACAAAACTGGCCAAAAAGAGTAGTACCAGTTCACCTGCTTTTACACTCTGATTTCACTATTATATGTTCAATGTTTATTTTGAAAAATATATATATTTAAAAAGCAATAGTTTCAACATATTAAAACAAGAGTTCAGTTCACGTAACAGGATTCACCTTAAAATGAGGGACAGACGTAAATGAATCACTAATCACATGAAATAAATAATAATCTTCAGAAATTGCTTTGTCAAAGCAACAAAGATAACTAGGGCTTTACAAAGATGGTGAAACATTTGGGGATTTAGTGGGTTGAAATCTTCCTAGAAGTGACAGGGTTGACTGAGGGACATGTCAAAATACTGAATTTTGCTACTTTAGCAAGCATGCATTCATATAGAAATATGCTTTATTGAATTCTCCACGTGGTCTATATTAAAGGGCACTTCATTTAATATAACAGGCTTTTAAAACGCAAAAGGCACCCATTTTGTGGAACGACCCCTATACTGTATGCTCTAAGGCAAAATCATATTGGCATAACAGAGATAACACAGCCTCTGATTTTATGGTACATGTACACTGGAACTTTGTTATATCCCCAACATATTTCATAGAAGCTTGTAAAATCTTGTCGTGAAAAAGCAAAGCACAGATATTTAACGGATTTCTGTGTGATTGTTTCTTTATTTGCGTGTGTGGTGTGTGTGTATGTTCCAGGTGCCATGTTCAGTGTGGATGGAGGACAGTCCAAGGGTCAGCAGGGGTCAGCGTATCTCAGGAGCCCTCTCTTCCCCCCTCCCCTACGGAACTCTCCATGTGAGGTGAGAGCAAAGGAGTCTTATTTTTCTCTCTCTCACTCTCCCACACACACACACACATACATACATACATACAGAGAGAGAGAGAGAGATAAATACACAGCAGACACTCACAGACAGGCAGACAGAAAGACACACACACACACACACACACACACACACACACACACAAAGCCCTCCTGTTGTATGCAGATGTGGTCTTTTAAGTCTAAGCAACCAGACTTACACACCGGGTGTGTCCCAAATGGCACCTTATTTCCTTTACAGTGCACTACTTTTGACCAAATCAAATCAAATCAAATTTTATTGGTCACATGCGCCGAATACAACAGGTGCAGACATTACAGTGAAATGCTTACTTACAGCCCTTAACCAACAGTGCATTTATTTTAAACAAAAAAAGTAAGAATAAAACAACAACAAAAAAAGTGTTGAGAAAAAAAGAGCAGAAGTAAAATAAAGTGACAGTAGGGAGGCTATATATACAGTAAAATAAAGTGACAGTAGGGAGGCTATATATACAGGGGGGTACCGTTGCAGAGTCAATGTGCGGGGGCACCGGCTAGTTGAGGTAGTTGAGGTAATATGTACATGTGGGTAGAGTTAAAGTGACTATGCATAAATACTTAACAGAGTAGCAGCAGCGTAAAAAGGATGGGGTGGGGGGGCAGTGCAAATAGTCCGGGTAGCCATGATTAGCTGTTCAGGAGTCTTATGGCTTGGGGGTAGAAGCTGTTGAGAAGTCTTTTGGACCTAGACTTGGCACTCCGGTACCGCTTGCCGTGCGGTAGCAGAGAGAACAGTCTATGACTAGGGTGGCTGGAGTCTTTGACAATTTTGAGGGCCTTCCTCTGACACTGCCTGGTATAGAGGTCCTGAATGGCAGGGAGCTTTGCCCCAGTGATGTACTGGGCCGTACGCACTACCCTCTGTAGTGCCTTGCGGTCAGAGGCCAAGCAGTTGCCATACCAGGCGGTGATGCAACCAGTCAGGATGCTCTCGATGGTGCAGCTGTAGAATTTTTTGAGGATCTGAGGACCCATGCCAAATCTTTTTAGTCTCCTGAGGGGGAATAGGCTTTGTCGTGCCCTCTTCACGACTGTCTTGGTGTGTTTGGACCATGATAGTTCGTTGGTGATGTGGACACCAAGGAACTTGAAGCTCTCAACCTGTTCCACTACAGCCCCGTCGATGAGAATGGGGGCGTGCTCAGTCCTCTTTTTTTTCCTGTAGTCCACAATCATCTCCTTTGTCTTGGTCACGTTGAGGGAGAGGTTGTTGTCCTGGCACCACACGGCCAGATCTCTGACCTCCTCCCTATAGGCTGTCTCATCGTTGTCGGTGATCAGGCCTACCACTGTTGTGTCGTCGGCAAACTTAATGATGGTGTTGGAGTCGTGCCTGGCCATGCAGTCATGGGTGAACAGAGAGTACAGGAGGGGACTGAGCACGCACCCCTGAGGGGCCCCCGTGTTGAGGATCAGTGTGGCAGATGTGTTGTTACCTACCCTTACCACCTGGGGGCGGCCCGTCAGGAAGTCCAGGATCCAGTTGCAGAGGGAGGTGTTTAGTCCCAGGATCCTTAGCTTAGTGATGAGCTTAGAGGGCACTATGGTGTTGAATGCTGAGCTGTAGTCAATGAATAGCATTCTCACGTAGGTGTTCCTCTTGTCCAGGTGGGAAAGGGCAGTGTGGAGTGCGATAGAGATTGCATCATCTGTGGATCTGTTGGGGCGGTATGCAAATTGGAGTGGGTCTAGGGTTTCTGGGATTATGCTGTTGATGTGAGCCATGACCAGTCTTTCAAAGCACTTCATGGACCAGAGCCCTATGTAGGGAATAGGGTGCAATTTGGGACAGCGACAGAAAGTGTGTATTAGCACACAGAGCACAAACAAAAATATGAATGAATGGACAGACAAAATTATGTAAGATAGGAGAGTCTGGAAACAAACAGACACACTGTGAATAAATATAGAGTAGTTATTAATAATGGCAGTATTGATGAATGACTGAACATTCATTTTTAGATATAATAAGCAGACTTCTCCTTACTTCAGTAAATTAATTAATCTGATGGATAGTTGAATATCTTGGTGCATTGTATCTTCATTTAACTCTTAGTTTACCTTGTAAGCTGCCTAAAAACACATAGACAGACAGACAGATAGACGCACGCACACACAAGCACACACGCACACATTTACACTGAACTGGGAAGAGCTGCAGTGGACAGGTGAGGAGGAGCGAAAGTGAATGCTGGGGGCAATGCCATTTCTTTATTAATTTATTGAATTCAAATGTATTTCCTGAATTGACAGAAGTTCGATCCCAACCCTGATAGTGGTGGTTTAGCAAGAGATCATAAATAAAGTTGGTGACATTTCCCAGGGATAGGATTTCCAGACACGAGGTCAACCCAATCAATAAACATATGTGGCAGGGTCTACAGACAATCACGGATTACAAAGGGCAAACCAGACACCGATGTCTTGCTCCCAGACAAGCTAAACACCTTCTTCGCACGCTTTGAAGATAATATAGTTCCACAGACGCGGCCCGCTCCCAAGGACTGCTCTCATTCTCCGTGGCCGGCGTGAGTAAGATGTTTAAGCATGTTAACCCTCGCAAGGCTGCCGGCCCAGACGGCATCCCTAGCAGCGTCCTCAGAGCATGCGCAGACCAGCTGGCTGGAGTGTTTACGGACATATTCAATCTCTCCCTATCCCAGTCTGCTGTCCACACTTGCTTCAAGATGTCCACCATTGTTCCTGTACCCAAGAAAGTAGAGGTAACTGAACTAAATGATTATCGCCCCGTAGCACTCACTTCTGTCATCATGAAGTGCTTTGAGAGGCTAGTTAAAGATCATATCACCTCTACCTTACCTGACACTCTAGACCCACTTCAATTTGCTTACCGCCCCAATTGATCCACAGATAATGCAATCGCCATCGCACTGCACACTGTCCTATCCCATCTGGACAAGCGGAATACCTACGTCAGAATGCTGTTCATTGACTATAGCTCAGCCTTCAACACCATAGTACCCTCCAAGCTAATCATTAACCTCGGGGCTCTGGGTCTGAACCCGGAAACAACACCTCCACTTTGCTGATCCTCAACACAGGGGCCCCACAAGGGTGCGTGCTCAGCTGCCTCCTGTACTCCCTGTTCACCCATGAATGCATGGCCACGCACGCCTCCAACTCAATCATCAAGTTTGCAGACGACACAACAGTAGTAGGCCTGATTACCAACAATGATGAGACAGCCTACAGGGAGGAGGTGAGGGCCCTGGCGGAGCGGTGCCAGGAAAATAACCTCTCCCTCAACGTCAACAAAACGAAGGAGCTGATCGTGGACTTCAGGAAACAGCAGAGGGAGCACGCCCCTATCCACATCGACGGGACCGCAGTGGAGAAGGTGGAAAGCTTCAAGTTCCTCGGCGTACACATCACTGACAATCTGAAATGGTCCAACCACACAGACAGTGTGCTGAAGAAGCCGCAACCTCAGGAGCCTGAAGAAATTCGTCTTGGCCCCTAAACTTTTACGGATGCACAATTGAGAGCATCCAGTCGGGCTGTATCACCGCCTGGTACGGCAACTGCACCGGCCGCAACCGCAGGGCTCTCCAGAGGGTGGTGCAGTCTGCCCAACGCATCACCAGGGGCACACTACCTGCCCTCCAGGACACATACAGCACCCGATGTCACAGGAAGACCAAAAATATCAAATCAAATCAAATTGTATTTGCCACATGCGCCGAATACAACAGGTGTAGACCTTACAGTGAAATGCTTACATACAAGCCCTTAACCAACAATGCAGTTTTAAGAAAAAAATAGATAAGTAAAAATAAAAAAATATTAAAGAGCAGCAGTAAAATAAAATAACAGTAGGGAGGCTATATACAGGGGGTACTGGTACAGAGTCAATGTGAGGGGTCACCGGTTAGTCGAGGTAATTGAGGTAATATGTACATGTGGGTAGAGTTAAAGTGACCATACATAGATGATAAACAGAGTAGCAGCAGCGTAAAAGAGGAGGTGGGGTGGGGTGTGGAGGACAATGCAAATAGTCTGGGTAGCCATTAGCTGTTTAGGAGTCTTATGGCTTGGGGTAGAAGCTGTTAAGAAGCCTTTTGGACCTAGACTTGGTGCTCCGGTACCGCTTGAGAACAGTCTATGACTAGGGTGGCTGGAGTCTTTGACAATTTTTAGGGCCTTCCTCTGACACCGCCTGGTATAGAGGTCCTGGATGGCAGGAAGCTTGGCCCCAGTGATGTACTGGACCGTACGCATTACCCTCTGTTGTGTAGATGCTCTCGATGGTGCAGCTGTATAACTTTTTGAGGATCTGAGGACCCATGCGAAATCTTTTCAGTCTCCTGAGGGGGAATAGGCTTCGTCGTGCCCTCTTCACGACTGTATTGGTGTGTTTGGACCATGATAGTTTGTTGGTGATGTGGACACCAAGGAACTTGATACTCTCAACCTGTTCCACTACAGCCCCGTCGATGAGAATGGGGGCGTGCTCAGTCCTCTTTTTTTTCATGTAGTCCACAATCATCTCCTTTGTCTTGATCACGTTGAGGGAGAGGTTGTTATCCTGGCACCACACAGCCAGGTCTCTGACCTCCTCCCTATAGGCTGTCTCATCGTTGTCAGTGATCAGGCCTACCACTGTTGTGTCGTCGGCAAACTTAATGATGGTGTTGGAGTCGTGCCTGGCCATGCAGTCATGGATGAACACGGAGTACAGGAGGGGACTGAGCACGCAAAGCTGTGACCGAGAGACTGAAAAACAGCTTCTATCTCAAGGCCATCAGACTGTTAAATAGGCATCACTAACCGGCTACCACCCGGTTACTCAACCCTGCAGCTTAGAGGCTGCTGCCCTATGTACATAGTCATGGAATCACTGGTCACTTTAATAATGTTTACAAACTGCTTTACTCATTTCATATGTAAAGTGGGGGAAAAAAGTATTTAGTCAGCCACCAATTGTGCAAGTTCTCCCACTTAAAAAGATGAGAGAGGCCTGTAATTTTCATCCTAGGTACACGTCAACTATGACAGACAAAATGAGAAAAGAAAATCCAGAAAATCACATTGTAGGATTTTTTATGAATTTATTTGCAAATTATGGTGGAAAAAAAGTATTTGGTCAATAACAAAAGTTTCTCAATACTTTGTTATATACCCTTTGTTGGCAATGACACAGGTCAAACGTTTTCTGTAAGTCTTCACAAGGTTTTCACACACTGTTGCTGGTATTTTGGCCCATTCCTCCATGCAGATCTCCTCTAGAGCAGTGATGTTTTGGGGCTGTCGCTGGGCAACACAGACTTTCAACTCCCTCCAAAGATTTTCTATGGGGTTGAGATCTGGAGACTGGCTAGGCCACTCCAGGACCTTGAAATGCTTCTTACGAAGCCACTTCTTCGTTGCCCGGACGGTGTGTTTGGGATCATTGTCATGCTGAAAGACCCAGCCACGTTTCATCTTCAATGCCCTTGCTGATGGAAGGAGGTTTTCACTCAAAATCTCACGATACATGGCCCCATTCATTCTTTCCTTTACACGGATCAGTCGTCCTGGTCGCTTTGCAGAAAAACTGCCCCAAAGCATGATGTTTCCACCCCCATGCTTCACAGTAGGTATGGTGTTCTTTGGATGCAACTCAGCATTCTTTGTCCTCCAAACACGACGAGTTGAGTTTTTACCAAAAAGTTCTATTTTGGTTTCATCTGACATTCTCCCAATCCTCTTCTGGATCATCCAAATGCACTCTAGCAAACTTCAGATGGGCCTGGACATGTACTGGTCCTCTGTAGCTCAGCTGGTAGAGCACGGCGCTTGTAACGCCAAGGTAGTGGGTTCGATCCCCGGGACCACTCATACACAAAAAATGTATGCACGCATGACTGTAAGTCGCTTTGGATAAAAGCGTCTGCTAAATGGCTTATTATTATTATTATTATTACTGGCTTAAGCAGGGGGACACGTCTGGCACTGCAGGATTTGAGTCCCTGGTGGCGTAGTATGTTACTGATGGTAGGCTTTGTTACTTTGGTCCCAGCTCTCTGCAGGTCATTCACTAGGTCCCCCTGTGTGCTTCTGGGATTTTTGCTCACCGTTCTTGTGATCATTTTGACCCCACGGGGTGAGATCTTGCGTGGAGCCCCAGATCGAGGGAGATTATCAGTGGTCTTGTATGTCTTCCATTTCCTAATAATTGCTCCCACAGTTGATTTCTTCAAACCAAGCTGCTTACCTATTGCAGATTCAGTCTTCCCAGCCTGGTGCAGGTCTACAATTTTGTTTCTGGTGTCCTTTGACAGCTCTTTGTTCTTGGCCATAGTGGAGTTTGGAGTGTGACTGTTTGAGGTTGTGGACAGGTGTCTTTTATACTGATAACAAGTTCAAACAGGTGCCATTAATACAGGTAACGGGTGGAGGACAGAGGAGCCTCTTAAAGAATAAGTTACAGGTCTGTGAGAGCCAGAAATCTTGCTTGTTTGTAGGTGACCAAATACTTATTTTCCACCATAATTTGCAAATAAATTCATAAAAAATCCTACAATGTGATTTTCTGGATTTTTTTTCTCTCAATTTGTCTGTCATAGTTGACGTGTACCTATGATGAAAATTACAGGCCTCTCTCATCTTTTTAAGTGGGAGAACTTGCACAATTGGTGGCTGACTAAATACTTTTTTGCCCCACTGTATATACTGTATTCAACTGTATTTTAGTCAATGCCACATTGCTCTTCCTAATATTTAAATATTTCTTAATTCCATTATTTTACTTTTAGATTTGTGTATTGTTGGGAATTGTTAGATACTACTGCACTGCTAGGAACACAAGCATTTCGCTACACCCACAATAGCATCTGCTAAATATGTGTACGTGACCAATACAATTTGATTTGATTTGATAAGGGGCCGTGCCTGTCAATCAGATGACAAAAATATATAACAGGGATTTGGAATGCATTATTCTTGCTTTATTGGTCAGAGGGGTTGTCAGTCAGGTCGATACAGGGTGAGTCCATGGTTTTAAAAGTTTGCCTCTTGATAGGTGTCTGTCTGGCATGTGGGCCAATATCGTATTTAGAGGTTACTACGGTGTCCATATTAGGACAGCATCAATGTATTTACACCACTTAGCACTTTCACCTTTGACCTTGTGTATGTGGGAGGAGGGTTAGGTCTGTTGGAAATGAAGAGCTAGAGTGAGAGTGAACAGGAGAGACAGAGGAGTGTGTGGATGAGCACAGCTAGACAGAGAGAGAGAGGAAGAGATAGAAAAGAGAAACAGAGAGGGGGTTCAGCTGAGGAGAGACATAGACAGAGTAGGGGATACACTAGGTCCGGGACGTTACCAGTATTGTGATACTCGTTAGTGTCGTGACAAGGAAATAAAACACGAAGTAGATTAACTTCTTTAGGAAAACAGCCCTAATGTTGGAAACAAACACCATTATGTCGTCATCCAGAGTCACATGTATTTATTTTGCAAGCTATAGCACACAATATCTTACATACAACAGGTTTTTAAAGGACCAAAGAATTTGGCCCACTCTGTGTTTACATTTTTCCCATGGAATTTTTTTTTGCAATACGGGTATCATCGCAGATATAGGATACACAGGGAGAGAATCTATGGGAGACAGAAAACGGAAAAAGGGAATAAAGAATGTGAAAGAGGGGAGAGAGGGGGACATAAAGTGGGCCTCTGAGCGACAGCTACTGAGATAGGTCTGAAGTAAAGTTCAGTCCTATAACAGTGCCTAAAGCTACAGTCCAGCTAGCCGCAGTCAGTTGTTCCTTGGCACTGACCCAAAGATTAGCCATGATTCCAGATTAGCACCTCAATCTCTCTCCTTACACGACCCTGAGCTGTCCAATGTACCCTACCTGCCTGCCTGTCTGCTTTGTCTGCCGCAGGACCCAATCTCAAGAGTAGATTGACTTGGGCATTAGTAGCAGATCATGTCCATCTCCAAGTAATGCCGGGCAAATACGGTTTGACTTCTATAATCTTGATGTCAGGGAACTTCTCACAGTTTCTCAAAGGTGAAATCTGGATCATTTACTATTAAGTGAGTGAGTACACTGTGATAGAAGACCTTGAACTACACATTGAAATTATAGTTAGCATTTAGACGGGAGTAATGTTGTTCCGTTAGATTGAGAAAAATATGAGCAATATGAATAGGGAACTTTGTACGGCCTGGTGTACAGCTGAGACGATTGATGAATATGTAATAACTTTAATTAAAGAAAACTGCCCCTACAGTTTTATCAAGTGCAATGTTTAGACCCAAATGTCTTCCCTGAAGTTCTGGCTGGAGGAAAGCCTTTCCGGTCAAAATGTTGCACTTAAGCTACAGCTTAAGCCCTGTAGCTCAGTTGGAAGAGCATGGCGCTTGCAACGCCAGGGTTGTGGGTTCGTTTCCCACGGGGGGCCAGTATGAAAAATCTATGCACTCACTGACTGTAAGTCGGTCTGGATAAGAGCGTCTGCTAAATGACTAAAATGTAAAATTTTAATAACACTGTGGGAACATTCAACAGAGTGCGGGTGTCTATCTTCATGACTTTTTGTTCCCTGCACCTGCAAGTAACTGGATGTGCGTACGCTACTTCTAAGCTAGTAATTATGGCAATATATAACATCACCATCTGATGATTTCGGATGTCAATGTGTGTCTCAGTTAAGTCCTATTCAAGTCCTATTCAGACTCATAATATAACGTGACTTTTGTGATTTTCCCAACAGGTACGGTTCTGGATGTGTTCCGGAGGTGGCCAGAGGTGGGCGCTATCTTTGTGGCTGGTGGAGAACAGCACGGGACCAGAGGAGCAGCGCAGACTGTGGCACTCTGCCAGCGGGCCCAAGACTGAGAGAGGCTGGAGACTCATTATGCTTCCTCTCTACGGACTTGTTGACTGGTACGGCGAATCAAGTTGCTCCATTGACAGACTGACAAGTGATTTGGCCAATCACGGCCTTAGGAAAAACAGAGTGCAGTGTATGAATATGTAACAGGGTCAAAATGGGGCACTGCTTCATTAGATTGTGAGATCATAGAATCATGCTACATTTGAAACATGCACCACGTCAAAGCATAAAAGAACCAGGAAGAAAGAAAATACATATCGCCTGTCAGGTTCAAAGACACAGTAATGAATAGCTTTTTTCTTCAGTTCTTCCTTCAAAATGCACATTTTCAGCATTTACATTCCATTTTAAGATAACCCTCAGTTTCACCATGCAAAGTTAATGAATCCCAATGGGTCTACTTGCCTTATCCTACGGGCATGCAGTGAGTTCACTATTCTCCTTGTCGCTCACTGTATCACATTTTTTTTTTAAACAGGGTAGTAAAAATCGATACAGAGACCTCCATTCATCCTCCTTTTCCTCCAATTAGCTATGGCACTTAATTTTTCAGTTCTTCAGTGTGAGGAGCTGAAATAATAAAAATGAAAAAAGAATGAAACAAACAAAAACCTGGACGACTTGTTTCATCTCGGTGTGCTTGATTGGGCTCTCTTTATCGTCTGAGCCGAGCTAATCCTGGTCCTCAGAGAGTGATACAATTTTTATTCCCGGTTTTATGGAGTTTGCTCTGCTCACATTCTTAATTAAAATGTGTGTCCTTGCGCCTTGTGAACTCGTCCGGATTCGAGGTACGACCTTCAGTCGGGATCTCTGAAATATAGGCAGAGAAATAGTCGTCAGATAAAGGTGAGGTTTAAGTAGAACATGTGGACGTTGGTGGGCAGTGAAGGGCAGTATAGAAGTAGATGAGGGCCAAAATGTTTTGGGAGTTGAGTTAGGAGTTACTTTTTTGACCTTTTGAGCAATATGAATGAAGACCAGCACTGCCAAATTATTCTCAATAAGGAGTCACGATGGATGCATTTCGACCATGAAGTCTTAATTGACCTTTTCTAGGAAGAACATTTCCAAATTGGTCTTGATTTTGATAGGATTTTGTTCCATAACAACAACAAGTCGAAAGTTTGGACACGCCAACTAATTCCAACTAATTGTTTTGATGTCTTCACTATTATTCTACAATGTAGAAAATAGTAAAAATAAAGAAAAACCCTTGAATGAGTAAGTGTGTCCAAACTTTTGAATGGTGGTGTATGTGGATGTCAAATAGCAGTAGGTAAAAGTCACTGTGACTTGGGGAAATGTTTTTTTTTATTTATTCGTCATTCTAACAATGCAAATAGAACTCTGTGTGGCACACATGCCTGGTAAAATAGGTAATTCAAGGTCTAGTAGATCCGTACATTCAGTATAGGGTCACAGTCATGTAAACTGTGGTCTTTGTGGTCATGCATCAGTATTCTGTCTATTTGCAGTTTCTAATAGAACACTATTATGACATGTTCTACTGTAGTACTGGCGTAAAACTCATTATATAGGTTGTGATCAACACTGTTATTTTTGAAGTAAACTCAGCAAAAAAAGAAACGTCCTCTCACTATCAACTGCATTTATTTTCAGCAAACTTAAAATGTGTAAATATTTGTATGAACATTACAAGATTCAACAACTGAGACATAAACTGAACAAGTTCCACAGACATGTGACTAACAGAAATTGAATAATGTGTCCCTGAACAAAGGGGGGGGGGGGGGCAAAATCAAAAGTAACAGTCAGTATCTGGTGTGGCCACCAGCTGCATTAAGTACTGCAGTGCATCTCCTCCTCAGTTCTTGCTGTGAGATGTTACCCCACTCTTCCAACAAGGCACCTGCAAGTTCCCGGACATTTCTGAGGGGAATGGCCCTAGCCCTCACCCTCTGATCCAACAGGTCCCAGACATACTCAATGGAATTGAGATCCGGGCTCTTCGCTGGCCATGGCAGAACTTTGACATTCCTGTCTTGCAGGAAATAACGCACAGAACGAGCAGTATGGCTGGTGGCATTGTCATTCTGGAGGGTCATGTCAGGATGAGCCTGCAAGAAAGGTACCACATGAGGGAGGAGGATGTCTTCCCTGTAACGCACAGCGTTGAGATTGCCTGCAATGACAACAAGCTCAGTCCGATGATGATGTGACACACTGCCCCAGACCATGACGGACCCTCCACCTCCAAATCGATCCCGCTCCAGAGTACAGGCCTCGTTGTAACGGTCATTCCTTCAACGATAAACGCGAATCCAACCATCACCCCTGGTGAGACAAAACCACGACTCATCAGTGAAGAGCACTTTTTGCCAGTCCTGTCTGGTCCAGCAATGGTGGGTTTGTGCCCATAGGCGACGTTGTTGCCGGTGATGTCTGGTGAGGACCTGCCATACAACAGGCCTACAAGCCCTCAGTTCAGCCTCTCTCAGCCTATTGCGGACAGTCTGAGCATTGATGGAGGGATTGTGCATTCCTGGTGTAACTCGGGCAATTATTGTTGCCATCCTGTACCTGTCCCGCAGGTGTGATGTTCGGATGTACCGATCCTGTGCAGGTGTTGTTACACATGGTCTGCCACTGCGAGGATGATCAGCTGTCCTCCTGTCTCCCTGTAGCGCTGTCTTAGGCGTCTCACAGTACGGACATTGCAATTTATTGCCCTGGCCACATCTGCAGTCCTAAGGCACGTTCACGCAGATGAGCAGGGACCCTGGGCATCTTTCTTTTGGTGTTTTTCAGAGTCAGTAGAGAGGCCTCTTTAGTGTCCTGTGACCTTAATTAGTGTCTTAACGACCGTTCCACAGGTGCATGTTCATTAATTGTTTATGGTTCATTGAACAAGCATAGGAAACAGTGTTTAAACCCTTTACAATGAAGATCTGTGAAGTTATTTGGATTTTACGAAATATCTTTGAAAGACAGGGTCCTGAAAAAGGGACGTTTCTTTTTTTGCTGAGTTTATGTATTTGTGCTAGTAGAATATTTGAGTTATGTCATAAAGAAGGATAAGGCAGTGATATCATGAATCACAAGATACTGTTTGGAAGTATATCGACACTCATTAGACATACTCTATCTTTGGGCTTGATTCAATCCGTATTGCCGAAGTTCAGCGCTTGAAATGTAAAGGTCATTTCCATTTTTGGTGAATGCAGTCTCCGCTATCGCGGAACAATTGCCATTCGATGTAAATCGTGCTACAACGCGGAACTTCAGCGCTATGGATTGAATCAAGCCCTTTTTCTTATCCTAGTCTTGAATGATACACTTAAGGAAGTATATCACCACCGAGAGCAGACATTCTACATCTTCCCCTCATCTCATAGACTTGAGCGATGCAGCTTGTGGTCATTGATGTAGTGTTCTATGTCCAGATTGTCTCTACAGATAGTCTCTACTGTTCAAAGATCAGATTGTGTTTCTCCTCAGGTTCTGGCTCCAGTTCAGCACTGAAAATGGACCTGGTCCAGGATCATCCATTTGTCTGGATAACATCTCCTTCAGTATGGACTGCTTCCTGGCCTGTGAGTCTTTCATTGATATTCCACAGCACACAGAATTTGTTATTTAATTTAACCCTTTTTTTATATATATATATTTTTTGACAGACAAAACAAAGGCTTTAGACCCAATCAACACATAACACAAGTAATACATTCATATCACCTCAACCTACCCACAAGACCCACTTACAGATGTCGTATCCTGCACAACAGTAAATGCAAGCTTGTAGTGTATTCAAGGTTTAAAAAGGCTTCTAAAGTTTGTAATTTCCACTATAACATTTCAGAATTGATTTGCCCTAACGAGAAATGTATCAACCCCTACAAAAAAAATGCCATTAATTATAATCCACATAATAATTCACATTTCCTGTTGCTGCAGGATTCTTTTCCTGCTTTGAGAAACTGGAAACTACACTGAACAAAAATATAAACGCAACATGCAATAATTTCAAAGATTTTACTGAGTTACAGTTCATATAAGGAAATCAGTCAATTTAGATAAATTCATTAGGCCCTAATCTATGGATTTCACATGACTGGGTAGGGGCGCAGCCATGGGTGGGTCTGGGGGGTCATAGGCCCACGCACTTGGGAGCCAGGCCCAACCACTGGGGAGCCAGGCCCAGCCAATCAAAATGAGTTTTTCCCCACTAAAGGGCTTTATTACAGACATAAATACTCCTCAGTTTCATCAGCTGTCTGGGTGACTGGTTTCAGACGATCCCACAGGTGAAGAAGCCGGATGTGGAAGTCTGGGGCTGGCATGGTTACGTGGTCTGAGGTTGTGAGGCCGGTTGGACGTACTGCCGAATTCTCTAAAACAACGATGTTGGAGGCAGCTTATGGTAGAGAAATTAACATTCAATTCTCAGGCAACAGCTCTGGGGGACATTCCTGCAGTCAGCATGCCAATTGCTCGCTCCCTTAAAACTTGAGACATCTGTGGCATTATGTTGTGTGACAAAACTGCACAATTTAGAGTGGCCTTTTATTGTCCCCAGCACAAGTTGCACCTGTGTAATGATTATGCTGTTTAATCAGTGTCTTGACATGCCACACCTGTCAGGTGGATGGATTATCTTGGCAAAGGAGAAATGCTCACTAACAGGGATGGAAACAAATTTGTGCACAAAATGTGAGAGAAATACGCTTTTTGTGCCTATGGAACATTTCTGGGTTATTTTATTTCGGCTCATGAAACATGGGACCAACACTTTACATGTTGCGTTTATATTTTTGTTCAGTATAAATATGGCATCTGTAAACAGAGTTTACTTGTTTAAAGCAACAATTTCAGACTTTCAATAGCAGAAGACAATTTAACCCTTAATTTAAGTCAATTAAGAACCGATTCTTATTTACAATGACAATCTGTCAAAATTGTAGTGAGAAATGAGAAATCATGACAATAAGCTTCAACTACATGTTCAAATATCTACATTTTTGGCCCGTTTTCTTTTTTAGGCTGCAGTGTATAAATTGTTCATGATGTTTAAATTAAATTGTTCATGATGGCCCCCAACCAAATCTGACTTAGGGCCCCCAAAAGGCTAGGGCCGTCCCTGTATAGTCTTAAAGGTCAAGACTTGTCTCGCCTTTCCCACTTTATCCATATGGTAATTGGGATGTTATATCAGCGGAGAAACAGCAGCGACATGACACTCGCGTCTCACATCAGGAGAAAAGAAAAGAGAGAAAGACATGCGCTATATCCCTCTCTCTTTCCCTAACTCTCTAAAGTAACTGCTCTAACTTTACCCAGAATAGCAAGCTGGGGAGCTCTGCCACTGATGCCACTTGGAAGATGGACAGGGAGTCAGTCATTTCACTGCTTCATCTGCCTGCTCAGTGTGGTTGGCAGGAAGTAAATTATGAATCGAGCTCTGGCTCTGATGATGAGGATATGAATTCAAATTGAAACAGGAATGGGGTGATTGTGTAGTTCATTGTTATTACTTTGTTATTCATATAGTATTATAACAGGTGTAGATATGGGCTACAGTACCATTGCAATCACCCTATATCAACACTACCTCATAGGACTTCATATGTACTTTTTATGTCCCACTTTATATGTACAGTGAGGGAAAAAAGTATTTGATCCCCTGCTGATTTTGTACGTTTGCCCACTGAAAAAGACATGATCAGTCTATAATTTTAATGGTAGGTTTATTTGAACAGTGAGAGACAGAATAACAACAAAGAAATCCAGAAAAACGCATGTCAAAAATGTTATAAATTGATTTGCATTTTAATGAGGGAAATAAGTACTTGACCCCTCTGCAAAACATGACTTAGTACTTGGTGGCAAAACCCTTGTTGGCAATCACAGAGGTCAGACGTTTCTTGTAGTTGGCCACTAGGTTTGCACACATCTCAGGAGGGATTTTGTCCCACTCCTCTTTGCAGATCTTCTCCAAGTCATTAAGATTTCGAGGCTGACGTTTGGCAACTCGAAACTTCAGCTCCCTCCACAGATTTTCTATAGGATTAAGATCTGGAGACTGGTTAGGCCACTCCAGGACCTTAATGTGCTTCTTCTTGAGCCACTCCTTTGTTTCCTTGGCTGTGTGTTTTGGGTCATTGTCATGCTGGAATACCAATCCACGACCCATTTTCAATGACCTGGCTGAGGGAAGGAGGTTGTCACCCAAGATTTGATGGTACATGGCCCCGTGCATCGTCCCTTTGATGCGGTAAAGATGTCCTGTCCCCTTAGCAGAAAAACACCCCCAAAGCATAATGTTTCCACCTCCATGTTTGACATGGGGATGGTGTTCTTGGGATCATAGGCAGCATTCCTCCTTCTCCAAACACGGCGAGGTAAGTTGATGCCAAAACACTTTCACCCAGTTCTCCTCTGAATCATTCAGATGTTCATTGGCAAACTTCAGACGGCCCTGTATATGTGCTTTCTTGAGCAGGGGGACCTTGCGGGCGCTGCAGGATTTCAGTCCTTTCACGGCGTAGTGTGTTACCAATTGTTTTCTTGGTGACTATGGTCCCAGCTGCCTTGAGATCATTGACAAGATCCTCCCGTGTAGTTCTGGGCTGATTCCTCACCGTTCTCATGATCATTGCAACTCCACGAGGTGAGATCTTGCATGGAGCCCCAGGCTGAGGGAGATTGACAGTTCTTTTGTGTTTCTTCCATTTGCGAATAATCGTACCACTGCTGTCACCTTCTCACCAAGCTGCTTGGCGATGGTCTTGTAGCCCATTCCAGCCTTGTGTAGTTCTACAATCTTGTCCCTGACATCCTTGGAGAGCTATTTGGTCTTGGTCATGGTGGAGAGTTTGGAATCTGATTGATTGATTGCTTCTGTGGACATTTGTCTTTTATACAGGTAACAAGCTGAGATTAGGAGCACTCCCTTTAAGAGTGTGCTCCTAATCTCAGCTCGTTACCTGTATAAAAGACACCTGGGAGCCAGAAAATCTTTCTGATTGAGAGGGGGTCAAATACTTATTTCCCTCATTAAAATGCAAATAAATGTAAACATTTTTACATGCGTTTTTCTGGATTTTTTTGTTGTTATTCTGTCTCTCACTGTTCAAATAAACCTACCATTAAAATTATAGACTGATCATTTCTTTGTCAGTGGGCAAACGTACAAAATCAGCAGGGGATCAAATACTTTTTTCCCTCACTGTATATACTGTATTCTCGTCATGGCTCATCCTTTAGAACTACTGCTGTACACACCTTTTCTGTTCACATACTGTCCATACTGTCTATACACACCATTCACATACATATATTTATATTCCAGACTCTGGTCCGGAAGCTACTTTCCTGCAATTCTATCCATTTTGCCATGGGGTTTTGCACTATGTATTTAAATACTGAATTTTTGTTACACTGTTTATACACACTGCATATTTATTTATATACTGGATTCTTGACATAGCTGGCTCCCTCTAATATATCTACTGCTGTACATATAATTCTTAATATATCTTGTGTAAATTCATCCTGTAAATATACGTATAGACTACATTTGGATTACTGTTATAGTGCTATTTGGGGGGTTTAATTGGATTTCTTGATTTCATGTTTTTACATTTGTTTTATTTGTGTACTTGTTTTACATTTTACTGCATTGTTAGAAGCTAGTAACACAAGCGTTTCGCTGCACCCACTATAACATCTGCTAAACTGTGTACGCGACCAATAAACTCTCATTTGATTCGATTTTAGGATCAGGGCATCTACAGTGCCTTCAGAAATTATTCATACCTCTTGACTTTCCACATTTTGTTGTGTAACAGCCTGATTTCAAAACATCACCCATCTCCACACAATACCCCATAATGACAAAGTGAAAACATGTTTTTAGAAATGTTTGAGAATGAAACACAAAAATATTGAATTCACATAAGTATTCACACCCCTTTGCTCCAAATTGAGCTCAGGTGCATCCAATTTCCTTTGATCATCCTTGAGATGTCACTACAACTTGATTGGAGTCCACCTGTGGCCAATTCAATTGTTTGGACGTGATTTAGAAAGAAACACACCTGTCTATATAAGGTACCACAGTTGACAGTGCATGTCAGAGCAGACACTATACAATGAAGTCCAAGGAACTGGCCATAGATCTCCGAGATAGAGTTGTGATAGGCTTATACTGTACCAGTCAAAAGTTTGGACACACTTACTCATTCAAGGGTTTTTCTTTATTTTTACTATTTTCTACATTGTAAAATAATAGCGAATACATCAAAACTATGAAATAACACATATGGAATCATGTAGTAACCAAAACAGTGTTAAAAAAATTAAAATATATTTTATATTTGAGATTCTTCAAATAGCCACCCTTTGCCTTGATGACAGCTTTGCACACTCTTGGCATTCTCTCAACCAGCTTCACCTGGAATGCTTTTCCAACAGTCTTGAAGGTGTTACCACATCTGCTTAGCACTTGTTGGCTGCTTTTCCTTCACTCTGCCGTCCGACTCATCCCAATCCATCTCAATTGGGTTGAGGTCGGGGGATTGTGGAGGCCAGGTCATCTGATGCAGCACTCCATCGCTCTCCTTCTTGGTAAAATAGTCCTTA